CCTACGTCTACTATGATACTGTATCAATCTAATGATCAGATCACGATGCAAGAACATATCCCGTGTGATGATACACACTGTGAACACACCACTATATTTATTATTAGAAGATTCGGTTCTTCTCCAGATCAACGATACGCTATACATTGATTAGTGTGATTAACAATGCACATCAAAGAGTATCGAAGGGAGCATAATATAATGTGGGTGTGCAATGTCCTTGATTGAAGGAAGAATCGCATCTTCTAATTATAAATACAGTGATGTGTTTACAGTGTTTATCATCCAAAGGGGAAACAACTGACTTGAATCAATTTAAAGTCAAAATTAATTCACATAACTCATATAACTCACTTAAACTCACCTTAACTCACAGTAAATCAGGTAAAATCACCTACTCCGATTCAAAAACAATTTTTTTTAACTTCAAAGCATAATCAAATTTAATATTATTTTTGTACTAATGCTTAACAATTTTCAATATGAACGCTATGCCACCGAGTGTTTGTAAGAAAAAGGATAGAAGAACATCTACCATTAAAAATAAACGAGAATATTGTTTTTTGTTTTGAAGAAAAAGTGCTAACAAATAGCTTCATTTATGCGGATATCTGCGGAGGCACCTAGATTAAGTTGGAACGACCTATTGCGACTTTATTAAGTTTTGACCTAATTTCTAATAATTCAAAAGGTTTTCAAGTTTTATTAGATACCCGTTGACTTTGATAGTTTATCTGACTTCTCAAAGGCTGTTGTTCTTGTCTACATCTTTGAATACTTGAGGAATCAAAACTACCATAAAAATCTTAATTTCTCATGGTTCTTTAAACTTCGTGAATTGCACTAATATTCTAAAGATTGATTTGAATTTTTTTTCTGTTTCGGTAAAATTCACTCGTTTCCCTGACGTGTTAAGAAATAACAAACTTTTTGTAGACTTGTGTATGCCTGGAAAATCATCAAATCCGTAAGATGAAACCAAGTATTATTCACATGCAGCAAATTCATATATATGTATGAGGCATGTCTGTATTCTATTCCCTCGATAATGGTTTTCTACTATCGCTAAGAGTAAACAAGCTCTCGTTAGCAGCAATGCCTAATGTTCGTGTTACCATTTCTATAATTTACTACAATTCGAAGGAATCCTAAGTTCAGAAATCTGAAAAATAGTCTTTAGCAACAAAATCGATTTTTCATGCCGAAAATCGGAATTTACCTTCGGGATCTTTCTTTTTTCAGACTTAAGGTCTCCGGATTTTCTGTTGCCCAGTTTTTTTTTTGGATGCGGCGACATTTATTTTTCCTTCGATAGAGCTGTGCATCTATATGAAGACTTCGTACATTAATGTGAGCTGTACTCTGTATGAAAAGGAATTGAGAGACCAAAGACCAATTAGCTAATTCCATTTAAAAAAAAATCGCCAAAAACCAATAGTAGGTTTCAACATCAAATGAGCGAGGTTGACCCAAGCACAATTCCATTCAATTGAACCTCAATAAAGAGAGGGTGTGGGTGTGGTGTGTGGCTGGTTGGGTGAGGTCTGTTGATATGGGTGTGAATGTGAATTTCGATTTTTTTCTATATCATGCCCACACCCACACCACAAAACTAGATTGTAGTTATAGAAAACCCTACATGATCAGTTAGCCACGACAAGCACAAGGTATTCAAAAAACTTTTCATTTTATCAGACTTTGTAGAGCTTTTATCGTTGACTATTTTGGTCAAAGAACATGTTGAATATCATTGAGAAATGATAGTATTATAGTGAAAATGTTAAATACTATGAAATACCGGGTGTCCAAAAAAGTTTGCAACTTAGTTTGTTTTGTGAATATCTTTGCAAAGACATGATAAAATCTTGCTTTTTATTTCAAAAGACGCGCCGTCGAAAGCTCTCTAAAAGCCATATAAACATATTCTCATTGCATAGCAAAAGGCTTCCAAACATTTTTGTTATTATTTTGTTGTTTGTTTTTCTTATGGTCTTTCATATTCAAGAGTTTTTTCAATTGAGCAGTTGTATATATACAGAACTCGATGTCTGCTATCCAAACATTTAATTGAATTAAATTAAATTAATGTTATGTAGTTTCAATACACGACTCAAAACAAAAAAAGTGGTATGAGACTTTTCGCGCACACTGGTGATGACACCGTGAAGTAGGAAATAGTTTCGTTAGTTTTATTTCGATCCTTTTTTTGTATCAGAGCGAAGTTTATGAAAATTTTTCCGATATGATTTCATGAGAAAAATGTTTTAAGTATAAATATTTTGTCAGTATCAGAGTTGGGAACAGAGAACAAGCAGAGGACTGAAGCGAGCGAACGCAATGTTTTTTTCTAAAATCGAAGTGTGACCAATGAATTTCTTCGTTCTGCATAGACATCTCACGGTAAATTCCTCTTGGCACCAAACCTCTCTGAATTCATTTAGATTCTCTTTCTCGATTAGTAATTGCCCATCAGCAGAATCTGCTATAACTACCAGAGAGTGAGTAGTGTGAGGAGTGTGATAGAAGAACTAGAGTTCTCACCCACACGCAATCATACGCCAATACCGTGTTGCTATATCCATTAAAGTATATTGAAATTCGAAAACTATTTACATAGAAAGAAATCATGGAAGCTTGCACTTTCCCTATTGAAATGTCTCAGATACAAGTTTTCAAGCGTATTGTACAATACAGGGTGACCAAAAAGTCAGGCACTCGAAAAAAAAATTGAATATCTTTATTAAGACTAGAGCAAACTAGTTGATTTCTTTATCAATGATAGGCACATCTTCAGGCTTTATATCCATAAAGACATGCCTAGAGAAGTCCTTTGTTAAGTATCACTATTGATCGCAACAAAAAAATTTTACTTTTTTTTACAGATGGAAAAAAACAACATACTTAACAGAGGATCTCTGTATGCATGTCTTTATGGATATAAATCTTGAACGTGACTATAACATTGATAAAAAAATCAGCTTGTTTGCTCAAGCCGTAATGAAGATGTTCAATTTTTTTTCGGGTGCATGACTTTTGGGCCACCCTGTATTTAATTATAAATACAAAATATTCTTCGATTGATCTCGAAAATAATACTATTTCTGACTCATAGCTATTGCAGTTTTCAATGTTAAAGTCGGTGGGATCAATTTGGGTAGAAATAATAATCCAAAAGTTTGATTCCAGTTATTTGAAATCAATGTTAAACATACTCGAATCATTTCAGCAAGAGATCTTTTTGTTATTGATCGAGCTCAATTCTTATGTGTCTTTAATGCTATGATTATTTTAGGCATGCATCTGATCACTGCACGTATCTCATCACACAAGAATCGAGTATGTTTGATTTAAAGAATGAACTCTGCGAATTTGAGAACAAGACGCAATAGTTAGTGATTGAAGAAATTGTCTAATATTATTTTTCAACCATTTTCTATTTCTCAAATTTCAATTAGATCAGTGACCTGTTACGAAGAACTTTCGATTGAAATACTGAAGAATATTTTTGACTGTCTAGATAGTTATCATGTATTCGGAACTCTTTTGAATCTCAATATCCATTCCGAACGTGTTCTCAGCATTATCCAATTTTCTGAATGATCTTCACATAATCGCCTTAATATCACATATACTTTTTTTTGCAGAATTTCTCGCCAAACAACAAAAATATCATTAATAATCATAGGCGGCGGAGCGTTTTTAAAAACGTCGGATCTCAAATTCAGAGCATGGGATCCAGACGAAACGTAATGGAGAATGGTATTGGAGTAAAATGATCTGTTGAATGTCAAAAAATTTTTGCCATTGGAGTTTGCGAAAAAAAAATTTTTTTTCCTGAGCCTCACCTGAATTATTCTTTCGCTGTTAGCAGTATTTCNATGATAAAATACGGATCAGTTGTTTATATGAAACAACGTTTGTAATTTCAAGAAAAGTACAAACAAAAAAAAAATAAAACAAATTATTCATCGAAAATGCATTAAAAAATATATATATTTTAGATGACATCATCTAGTATTTTGTCTTATATATTAACATTCATTTTTTTATTCTATTATCAAGAGTAGAATAATTAATCTATTTGTTTTTGTCATATACATTGAATAAAAATATATTCTATTTGTAATTTTAATTTTGCAGTACTCATTTACTGACTAATATCGAAATAGATTATATATATAGACATAGTATTACTGTTTTATTTTGTCATTATCAATCATTCAAGAAAATCATTGACTTGATAAATTATATCTTGTCATCAATCTGGTGTAATCGAATTGAAATATTTTATTATAAATATCAATATAATCATATTTCGACGTATATAATCATTAGATCAATAAAATAGATCTATCAAGATGCGTTTATTTTTTATTTTAAAACATGACCATTCTTTATAGAATTTTTTTTTCTAAGAATTTGATCATTAGGTATTCTAAAAACCTATCTATTTCATATGAATTCATAATTAAATGTCTCTTACATTTCGAACTCTGTTTATATTTAAAGTGAAACATATTTATGCAAAAGTAACAATGAATTAACTAATATAACGTTAAACAACACACGATCGCCCACGTTCACGATATAAGATATCCTGATTAATAATACGAATCATGCAAAAAAAAAATACAAGCCATGACCTTCGGACTTTTTTTATACTTATAATGATGGTTTGTTAAAGTAATGTAAGCAGAAAAATGTGTACTATTCAAATTCAACTCACATTCCTTTTTCCACAAATAAATAAATCATCAATATTGCGTTTTTTTTTTGTCTTTCTTACTCACCTGTATAGATAACTATTGGTAACAAATGAATAAGAGCTGTATTTAGTGTTGATTTTCTTGGTCTAGTCAGAGAAAGATGTGATAGATTATACGTATATATTTATATATACTGTTTTACCGTCAAATTATTTGACATACTTATTATAGAAACACGTTTACTATTGTTTTTTTTTTTTTTCTTAACTCAATTACAAATATAAGTCTCCATTCATGCAATCGAGTGACGTCGATATGAACTTTTGCTCTTCTTCATTATTACAAAAAACATCTGATGAAAAATATATTCAATCGAAAACATCGAATATAAAATCCAAACAGGTATTCATATGAAAATAAAAAATTGTCTTTCTATAAAAATCTATTTTAGATTTTATCAGGATTCATAAATAATCATTTAGAACGTTCTCGAAAATTATCTAGCTCTTATCATGTTCGAAATCGTCATCGTCGTCGTCATTGCCGACGTATTCCATTAACATTTGATATAAATCATAAATCTAAAGATTCAAATGAACTTAAAAATCAACTAAGTCTGAATAATAATAAAATTAATATTGAGTCACTAAAACCAATCGAAAATATTGAACAAGAAGAAAATCATGTCAACAATTCAGATGAACAAATTAAAGCACAACAAGCACAATTACAGAGAGCTATTTACAATGCCAAACAAACACCATTAATACCTTTAATTGTTGATATAGATTATCGTTCATTATTCGATTTATCACAACAAGAATATGGTCTATTGATTAATATTCTAAATTTATTACGTAACGTTAGTGAAGAATGTTCTTTTTTCGAACAATTTAAAATTTAAGTGAAATAAAAAATATTGTTTATGTAGGCTTATTTATCTAAATTATAATAAATTGTTAATATATTTTTAAAAATTTGTTTAAACTCAATTATTATTAATCAACGCCATCTGTAATTTTATGTTTTCTATATATATATATATATTCTCATTCGTAGAATTACTACCAATCATTTTTTCTTGAAGAATCTTAACTTCCGACTTTATTTATACGAAGTGTTTCCAACATTCAGTGCTTTAAACAAAAGGAAAGTACTCAAGATGCTTTCGACTTTGAAGAAATACTATCTTTTACACTTTATTCGCAAAAACAAAATATCTTGATGAGACTCTACGAAGTAGAAAAAAAAAGAGCACTTTGCTTATTTGTTACGATGTTATTGACAAGTTACTTGTCTTACTCTTATATATATAGCCCAATTAAAGATAAAGTTGCGAAGTATTTTATTTTCTATTCTTATCAAATTGATCATTGAAATGTCACGTTCGCTTGCTTTAGATTTTCAAGCTTCTTTCTTATACATAGTTTCTTTATTAGTTCTTTTGAAATGTATTAAATTAGGAATTTCAATCGAATCAACATCATGCTCAGAAATCTAAAAAAAATCAAACAAAAAACAATATCGGATGATGATACTGGCATATAAAAATTTACTTATTTCAATTTAATCGATTAACAGCGACACTTTCATTAATTTTTATTACATGATTTTGTTAAAAAATCAAATTCGTTACATTTGTTTCATCATCTGAAGTATCATTTTGTTTTTCGTGTTTTTGATATAAAATCTACGAAAGTTATAATTGTTTCTTATACTTTAAGCTCATGGACGGTCTTGCAACGGATGTATTAACATGTACGAACAAGAACAAAAATAAATACTTTCATTTTATTCTTTTATACATACTTGTTATTATTAAAACCACATGAAATCAAACAGTTTGACTCCGAGAATGCTTTTTGGACTGGCATATAAAGTTCTTGTTGTGCTATTGGCTAAAGAGACTGTCTTTCGGATGGTTTTTACTGATTTAACTCTGAAAAAAATTCTTCATGATCACTCCGACTTCACCGGAGTTCAATGCAGGGTTCGAGCCATTATCTGTATGTTATTTTTCCATATTGTTTTTTTCTGTCCGGAAGAACAAATTTTCATAACAAGACACGAATAGTTATATCTTTGTCATTGGTTGTATTAATCAATTTTTTTGCTCTAGTACTGCACTATTTAGAAAAAAAGTACTTATTTACACTTCGTTTCAGATTTCTATTCATCTATTCGAACTAAATAATAAAAGAGAAAACTATTTCATATTAATAGATCCGAATTGAAGATTTTTATGAAAATTTTAAAAAAATCTTGAAGAACAGTATTATCAACAGCGTACGTGTTGTGTTAGAATGTTTTGATGATATTTATACTAATTTTAAAATCTTGAAGAAATTCCATGTATTTTTATGCTAATTTGTGAAATCATTTGCTTCTCATTTGATGTTTTAATATAGTATTTTTCATGGAAACTTCCAACTCATATAAATTTGGTCATAAACATATCTATCATAAAATTCATTCAATTGATAGTTTTCTCTTTAAATATTTCTTCTAGAATCATTTCTATGATGCATAAAGTTTATTAAAAACAGTCTTACTATATCATTAAAAGTTCTTGTCACACATGTTCACAATATTAATAAGATTGAAAACAACTTATGTAGAAAAAAATCCTATGAATCATGAAAAACGGCAAACAAAATTTATAATATAAAAAGGCAATGAGAGTTTTTTTTCTTATGTTAAGCTCTAGATTCAATTTATAAATAGAACATATTCATTTGTCCTATTTGGTATGTCATTTGGTCGTAATCGTCATCAATCAATCATAAAGTCCTGTGATATTGATGAACTAGAAGCGTCCGTTATTAATTCATCCAATCCAAATGAAAACTACACTAGGGTAAGGTTTTTTTTTCTTCTGTTCTTTCTGACGTGTAAATGTTTATTCATTGGTTTTTTCGCAACAATATTTAAAAGAAAAGGTAATTCATCGTGAGTCAGCTGTCGGCAGGTGATTCAAGAGGTCGTTTTTTCCCATTTATATTTTGAAATTGATGGCAGATAATATAAGATCTCTATCTCCAGTAACGAAAGTCTATAGTGAACTTGAAAAAATGCTTACACCGGATCAATTCGATCAAATGTTTGTAGGTTTTAAAAATAATGAACTCAAGTTCATTTTTCTTATTGGAAAAAAATGAATTAATAAATGATTCTATATCGATCATTTTGTCTTTTTTTTAGTCTTTAATCAATCCTACTACCACATCAAATAATTTTGATGATGAAGAAATAGCTCAACAACATCAAGAGCAATTTTTTTATGAAAATTTAAGGCATGCTGATGAATCATCATCTACAACTATGACTTCAATTGATATGAGACCACTGGAAGAAATCGAGGCTGATGCTGCTTACGCTTTTCAACTTCAAGAAGAAGAATATTCAAAAAATAGTATCACACCATTTCTATCATATCAACAAAATTCAAACGATAAACACTCTCCAAATCCTATTGTCAATTTTGGTGGTCAAATCATGCTTAGTGATGCAGAATTAGCAGCACATTTACAAGCAGAAGAAAATCATCAACAACAACAACAACAACAGAGACGTAATCAACGACGAATCCCACAGCCAACAACTAATCGAAATTACCAATCTAATGAATCTGAGAATATAACTATTCCACCTTTTGCCAGTCCTACAAATCCTCCTTCATTTGGTGGAAATAATAATCGTGCTGCTCCTAACGTTTTATCTTTAATTCGAACTCTTGCCTCCAGTGGTGTAACATCTCGTGGTTCTCCTAATTTTCGTAGTCATAGAAATAGAAATATTGAAAATATTGACGAAGATTTCGGTCCAAACGATTATGAAGTAAATTATTACGGATTAAATTATATTTAAGTAAGATTTATATTTTTCATTTTTAGAATTTACTTCAACTGGATGAATCAGTCAATAAAAACGCTTTATCTAGCGATCAGATTAATAGACTTCCAACTGAAAAATTTCGTCGGTTACCAAATACAACTACTGAAGAAAAACAATGTAGTGTTTGTTGGGACGAATTTGAACCAAATCAGACATTACGTCGATTACCATGTCTTCATCGCTACCATCAAAGTTGTATAGATAATTGGTTAAAAGTAAGTCAATTCTATTTGTATTTCATTTCGAAAATTTATTTGACATTGTTTTTTTTTTCTAAATTTAGACTAAGAATTTGTGTCCCGTTTGTCGAACGCCACCCATTAAATAATCAACAAATTATTGAATACATTATTCTCCAGAATAATAAACTTTCACGCGGTGAATTGTTTTCTTTGTTTGTTGTTCCAATATACCAATTTCTCTTGATAATATGATTATACTTTTCAATAAATATGTAATATTTTACTCTTGTACATAGCCCATTGTCATTATTCATATTATGATTTTTTTTCTTTAGAATGAGATAAAAAAATAATCATGATTATGAATTTTATGTGTCTATTTTTAAAATATTTGATCGGTGTATATGTATCAAAATCTCATCGTTTAAGATCTTAAAAACGAATGTATTTTCTACAGTACTGGTCAAAAATATAAGACCAGAGTATGATATCGAGTATTTAACTGAAGTCCAAATAATGGTTTGAATAGTTAGTGAAGTTCTCTATCAAATATATTTCATGAACGAAATTTCATAGATGGACTATGAGAGAAAGATTTCTCAAAAAACAAAATACAGTAATTTTCAGATCTTAGAAAACTGTGCAGAAATTAGTTTTTAACAGTATAATCCTAAAAAAAAAGACGAAATCCTGAAAAAAGTGAGGAGTAGAAGCTTGTTAGGTTCAAAATTTTTGAATCCAATCGAATTATATTTCGATACTTTTAATGAAATTTTCTAATCGGAATTCAATAATTGTCTTGAAGATACGAAATAATTTTTTCTGACTTTTTCTATTCGGTCACTTGCGCACCCTACATATTTCTCGGACGACTAGAAACATCAGGTCGAATATTTTCGGATCCAGGTCCGACCAGATCAGGGTGTGGGATCAACTTGGTGGACTTTAATGAGAGATTGTCGTATTTCCTGCGAACGTCTCTTAAAAATTTATAAATATTACAAAAAAAGAAAAAAGTGGCGTCTTTTAGCAAAGATATGGTAAATATCGCATTGCTTTCATGTTTTATGATTACTGATGAGCGATACAATCTCGCCAATATCTATTAACGATGCTGGTAACTTGTAAAAGAAAAGTCATAGAAAATGTGACGATCACTCGTTTTATTCAGAATATTGCGCTCTTTAAGAGAGTACTCGTCAAAACAAATTTCCATACAGTCTTTTGAGATCTAAAAACTATCGCGTTTGACTTTTGAGAATTCTTTCTCTCGTAGCCCATCTATGAAATTTCACTCATGAAATGCATGAGATAGAGAACTTCATTAGCTATTCAAACCATTATTTGAATTTATCTTAAATGTCATGTCTTGTCTTGTAGAGAAAAGAATAAAAAAGTATGTTGATCTTATATGATTAACCAGTACTGTGCAAGGAAAAAGGAAAATATACAATTGACAATTCATGGACTACGGACTGATAATTACCAAAAATATGTTCAATTATTTAATCACTTGTATATGAATTCAGTTAGATTATTAGAGCTTCTTTGGAAAATACATATGAACAATGGTATTCGCTAGAGACACGACACATACAACGAACAAGTTTTTCATTACGTGCATTTCTATTTATAAATCCTCCAAACGCAAATAGTGTTTTTTCAAAACTAAAATATTGTATTTTGTACGAAACTCTTCAGGCTACAGAATCTGTGCAGAGTTCTTCCTGAACATGTTTAGGATGTTCAAAAATCTGAGTTCTCCGTTGTTAGCGATGTAACTGAACATGGATATAGAAATGAAAAATTTTCTTGTAATTGAGTGAGAAATTCAAAAGACATTGTTAAATGGTATAAATCTTTCTTGAAAATTTCGAAATGATGGGAAAACAAAAAGTGTCGTTTTGAGACAAGAGCAGACTTCTAGAAAATCATTTTTTAAGAGATGAGTTTTTGAACAATCATTTTGCTGAAAATTTTACCATAGATATAATTTATGATGTGGAATCTACTCTGGAATTCTTGAACTTTTCCATGATAAGATTAGAGAGCTATTGGCTGATTACGTTTAAATTAATTAATTAATATGAATTAGATGTAAGCTGAAAGAAGTAATCTTTTTAATGAATCAAATTCAACTCGAAGATGGTCATGCTTCATTATTTCTGATTTTGATCATATATAAGAGCTAGAAAATTTATGAAATGATATTTCCTAGTCATTCATTTTGAGTGTGTATGGATGTTGGTAAAGAAAACATCCACACTCACTCGTGCATTCTTATTCATACTCTTCACTAGTTCAAAATAAAAACTCGTTTGCAAATGTGTCATTATCATATTCTAATAAAATACCAATATTTCCAGTCTGCATATTAAATACTGCAATTTCTGATTGCTGGTCATCGTTGACATCACCAAGAACAATTCATATTGACATAGAACCATCTTCAGTAGAGTATCTGATTTAACTTGCAAAAATTCCATTCTTATAGAAAAGAATGATATGGACGTAATTATAGGTGTAGGTTCGATGATTGGTGTGGATGTAGAGAAGAACCATATCCTATCCACTAGAGACCACAATGAATAAGAATATCGTTATGCGGACTCGATTTAATGCATACTTTTACAGAATAAGGATATTTTTTATGTTAGTGCATATTCTTTACTAATCAAGATACTTATTCTTCTAAAGTGCATTAGAAAGTAGATTTTAAATAATAAAATTGTTCATAAAATTTTGATATTAATGAATTGGAAAACAATAATGCAACTAATTGACTCTTTCAAGATTGGAATTTCATGTACTGAATGCATCTATCAAAACTGGACGAGCGAAAAGAGTTCACTACAAAAATTAGCCTAAAAGCTTAAAAATAAAAGAATAACAGTTTGTTTCAGTAAGAGATTCATTTGGAAGGAATAAATTGGAAAGATGCATAAGAAATAATAGGTAGAAATAGAAATCACTCAACAATGAAATATTTCTTTTTTGGTGTACGTATATCGTTAAAAATTAATATAATTTTTTATTATTACACATATCATACTAAAAGGTTGTCTGGAGAATCGTAAATAAGCAGCCATCGAACAAGTGTTAATTTTTGTCAAGGTATATTTAAATTTTAGTATACGTCTGCGTCATTTGATTATACATTCGCAGTTAGCACTTTTATTGACAACAAATAGACGAACCTGATTATAATATCTAAACTGCTATTCTTTGCTTCTGTATCTGTGTAACTCATTTGAATCAATAATCAGTTTCATGTCATACTTTTCATAGTAAACGATTTTTGTTCAGTCTTTCTTTGATTTGACTGCACTCAGCTGCTACTCATTAACTGTCCAAGTAGAGTAATGAGAGCTGTCGCTCAGTAAAAGACTAGAAGATAATAATTAGTATTTAATCTTGTTTTTTTTTTACATGATAATACATTATCTGTATCTTACTTGAACTTATCAAACTGTGATTAAAGGCATCTCCATGGTATTCTATTTGACTGATGAGAGAACCTCCCCAAATGTCCCCATTCTATTTCAGTAATGTTTTTGCCTATAGATATTACATAGTTGTTCTAATTAAAACTCTCAAAGGATTTGTGTTTCTGTAAGCTATAGAATTTTTAATATGTCTATTTTCTAGAATAGGGTTTCGGAAAGCGCATATTTTCGAATATTGATCTGAAACCTAACCTATATAGAGAACTCAACTAGATTAGCTTTCATAAAACAATGCACAAGTTTTGAATATAACTCCTTGATGGAAAAGAATCTATATTTTGAAAGTCTCACATCTCGAAGAAACTTTGTTCAACATTTCGGAGTTCTTTTACGGAAACTAGTCTAGATTAGCTCTCTACATACACAAAGTTTCAGATCAAAATTCTAAAATAAGAGTTTTCCGAAAATCTGACATCTCGAGAAAATAGACATGTTAAGAATTCAATAGCTTGGTCAAATATGTATTGTAACATAAATTCTTTTTGAGTTATTATTAGAACATCATGTAATATCTATAGGCAACAAATTATTGAAATCGGAAGAGAACTTCTGATGAGGTTTGCTTGTGAGTTGCATTGAATTATTTGTTTATTCGATTCGATTTCCGTCTCTAATTTTTAGTATGTAAAAAACAAAACGAAGAATAAACTTTCTCAAGTAAAAAAAAAAAAAAGTCAAACTATTTTACTAATTAATATTCTGATTATTTTCAAAAACAAGCCTAAAGACAAATGATTGCATATTATCGACATCTGTCGAAAGTTTTCTATATACCCAAAACAGATAGAAAAAGAAGACTAACTAACAGAGCTATCCATTCATTCTCAACGTTTATGACTCATGAACTATTGATATTTCTTTCTCAAACTATTTCCCGAAAACTATAAAATGTCGACTAATAATCAAAGTGATCAAGAAATTCCATTTTCAACAGATAATCCAACGAATCAATTACAGTCAGAAAGTATTATTGCATAAAAAGGAATTTATTTTAAAAGATTTATATTGTTATAATACTGTAGATGGTGTATCAGAATCATCTCAACAAATTGAAGAAATCGATATTGCTCTGACTGATCAAAGTGATAGGTTTGTTCGCAGATTATTTAAATATTCAAAAAAAAAACCTGTTCTTTTTGCGCTTAGTTGGGAAACCGATGATGAAGGAGATTTTTATTCTGAACAAGAAAATCATAGTTTATCAGATCGAAATGATGATGATGAAAGTTATCTTGATTTAGGTTTACCAGAACATTTAATTGAATGTTATCCAACAACAACTGCTGAAGATGCATCAGTAGTTGGTGTTCTATGTGATATTTGTCTAAATGAATATAGATCAGATGATAACCTACGAACTATTCCATGTTTACATAGATTTCATAGTAAATGTATTGATAAATGGCTTAAGGTTATAACTTTATTTTTATTAAGTGGAAATAAAAAAATATCTTGTTTTTTATCTTAGAAAAATTCAAAATGTCCAATGTGTCGAAGTGATTTATTAAAATCCGAATGGTATTCAGATGAAATCATATGAATATTTTCTTGTTATTCTAAAAATTTTTTTTTTTTTGAGGTTTCTTTGTTTTGTTTTGTTTTTTATTTGTCCTAAAAAGTTATCACCAATAGAACATCGATGACATAAGTATTCTTTTCAGATGAAAATATTCTCATGTTATTCATATTAATTTTTATACTCTTTATTATTCCCTATTCTTTTAGTGAAGGTAAATTCTATTTTTGGATTTTATTTTTATTTAGTTTCTTGTTTTTATCTATAGAATGGATTATTCATGTATATACAGGCAATGAACGTTTTGCTGGAACTGATAGTAATATTTTTCTTCGTTTATTTAATTCAAAATATGGTTATACTAGTGAATATAAATTAACACATGAGAATTGGATTGTTGGAAATACTATTTTTCCATTAAGAAATTTATTTGAACATGGCGAACATGATCGATTTCGAATTTTTACTGATAAACTTGGATTTGTAGAAAAAGTTCATGTAAGAAAATGCAATTTTCTCTTCTTTTTCTTTTTGTTTTGAAACATTTCAAAACAAATAAACTTTCAACTGATGAACATAGTTAAACGAACAGCTTTATAGTTTAGTTTGTGTTGACGATGGAGTTCATCAGATCCGGATCCGGATCCGGAGCTGACTCGACAGACTCTAACTAACATTATTTTATCATTATAAATATAAAACAGTGTAAGCACATATAGCAGATGTTATTTTTTCTCAGAAGATATAAATACATGGTTTTTATATGCAGAAGAAAAAAAAACAAATCGTTTCAATTATTAATACTGAGAATAGAATTTATTTGTGGTATGATCATATAGAAATGTATGGTTTCAGTTTATTGACTATTAATTCAGTGTTCACTGAAGCACTGGAACACACTGATACAAAGAATAAGTTTATTTTGATAGAGTTTGTGTCTTTCTATTACAGCAAACGTCGACATCTGTGTTTCTGTGAATATCGATGACAGTGTAATCAGTGTCCCAGTGGACTCACTGTTCAATATTTCAGTATCCTGTGATCAAACTATAAAAAAAATTGACAGAAAACATGAGAAAATAACAGCAAAATGACTTTATTCGGAACTTTATTTTATGACGAAATGTTTGTTTAATTAAATGTTTTCATACTAAAATTGCTTATTCATAAGAACTATATGAACTAAAACATGAATATGATTCAAATTACCTTAAATTTAATAGTTTTGTTTTCTCTTGTTATGTAACATTTGTATTGAATTCTAATATTTTTCATGAGAAATGTTATTCACTGTTAAGTAATCCTATTCTTTCTTGTTCTATTTACATTCTCAACAGATGTACTATATCGCTTTCATTCTATATGTTACAATAGAGTTACTCATACATATGGTTGTAAAAACATTAGTTTTTGACTGCATCAATCATAAAAAAGATGATTAATGAATAGACGATGTAGATCATTGAAAGAAATTTCTGTTCGACTATAAATCTATATTCTATGGTTTTTCCAGTTAGAATATAAGTGATTAAAATTCTGCTATTTTATAACAATACTTGTCTAGTCATTCAATTGATTAGAATCATAAATAAAGTTAGTGAAAATATATAAAAAATAATGAATTAATTATAAAAAAAATTCCAACTATACTAAAAATCGCCTTGTAAAAACATTAATATTTTATTTCATAGAATATTCAACGGGTTTCATACGCTTAAATTAATTATCGATATTGTCTGATGCTGTTTTGATATAGAATGCAATATCGAAAATCAAAAGCATACTTTTTTTTTTTTATATATTTATTAAAAACACTTCGAAGCAAATCTATAATACTGCAGTTATTAACTGGAATAATACAAGTTTTTTCAATTTCGAAAAAAACTTTTTTTGAGCCTCGAAATATTTCATATTGTATTGATTACAGTTCGAATTATTTTCTTTGTTTTTCGTTTAGAATTATATTTCTCTAGCAATTTTTTGTTGCAATATTTAATTCAAGTCTCTTCTCTGATTTATTGTTATGCTCTTTGATTTTTTGTCATCGTTCAATCAAGATATTGAAAATTATCATAATAAGGAAAAAAACCGAGCATTTATCTTATAATTTCATTAATAATCATAAAAATGTCCTACTATAAAGCATAAAAATATCCATAAAATATAACCCATGAATGATAACGTCTATAGATCGACGTTTGCTAAAAAAGCATTTTCAAACTGTCTTGTCTATCTCGGATAGAAATTTTATTTTGATTAATTTGTTAAATACTGGTATTTCAGGTTCGACGAGATACTTTTCCATCATTTCAATCTGATTGGCTTTTGGATCGAATCGTCGTAGAAAATAGTCATGATCGTATTAAATTTACATTTAAATGCAATTGTTGGCTTCGAAAAGAACGACCATATATAACTGTTCCTGTCTTATCAGGTAATAAAATTTATTCGTTTTTCTTTTTTTTTTTCTTCTGTGTAAAATGAAATATCAACTAAATAAAACGAAAATATTTGAGCTTGGATAAATGTTACATTCGGTTTTTAGATTTACACTCTATTGACAAAAACAAGTCATCGAAAAATAATCAAACGATTTTAATTGTTCTTATCATTTCGATCATTTCAATAACATGTATTATATATTGCATTAGTGAATGCTATCGTCATCATCAACATCGACATTTTTCATCGGTGCAAAATCGATTTGAATCATCGATTATTGATAGATATCATTTACAATTATCAGAATCGTCAACATCACAAATTTTTCATGAGACTATAGATCGATCGAAAAATATTCGACATCCAGTACAATCTAATTATGAACGAAGAGCTACTGTTGGTCAATCAACAATGATAACTTCAACAGATGAGCCACCAGCTTATATAGGTATGATATTTATTACTCTTATTTCATGATTACTTGCTTTTTTTTTCTTTTTTGATGATTGCTTTATAGATTTATTTCCTAATTGAAAAATATACCTTGATGTGATTAAATCTATGCTTATCTTGTTGTTTTTGATTTTTTTTTGATTTTTTTTATTGTATTGTACAGTATTGTCTAGTCAAACACGTATCTCGTTTTAAAATATCAGATTACTGAATTATTTGATTCTCTCAAGGTCTCTCTCTTGTTCGCAATCAGTTATTTTTTTTATCTTACTCTCTCTCTCTCTCTTTCTATATCCTTACCATCGACACTTGTCTTTTTTTCTGTGCGTTTCATATTATAAAATTTATAGGCCGGATTTCTTCTTTTTTTTTTCTTTCTCGTTTTCTCTTCTTGTTCTTGTTCTTCTTGTTCTTGTTCTTCTTCTTTCTCTTTTTTCTTCCCTACTTTAATGCCGCTATCACACTATCATCACAGTTCTTCGCTTCGCTATTGATAAAAAGACTTTGGTATGTGATGGTGGCTTTTTTTCGCTTTGCTATTGCGAACACTGTCGAGCGGCACAAGCAAAAAAGCTTATGCGTGTGCGTAAAGATTGGCCGTCGTTGTTGCTGCCGAACGCGCACTATTGTCGGTAGCAAAAATATAGAATACAAAGAACGAGAGAAGCTGCATAGTATCTTGGCAATGATGTAAAACGCCGTGTGTGTGTGTGTGTATGTGGGAAACGATTGCACTTGCGCATCAGTTTGACTCTCTTTCACATATGTTTAGTTCCGCGTTATCATCTTTATATCGTCGTTTGTTAACACGAAGAACAACAATAGTCATGAATCTATATTCATTGTGACAAGATCGTATGTTTTCTAGTTTTCTTTCATTTGTTTTCTTTTTTTTGTCGTTTCTACTGATACAAGACAGTGACAGAGTTTGATAAATAGATAGATACATAGATCGACAAGCGAAAATAAACCATCATCATAATTGGAAAGAAATTATACAATATCTCTTTAATTATCCAAAAAAAGAAACAATTTATATGATAATCATATTGATAGTCTTCGATTTTTTTATTGTGACTTTATATAAAACAATATTTACATCCGAAATAGTAGTGTATATATTAAAGATGTTTCATGTACTACACTCATGAATTAACGTAAGTGTAAATGTTTTAGCGTAACTTGATTTGTAGTTCTTTCTTTGTCTAAACATTTTGAATAAGCTGTTTGCATTTGTCAAGAATGAAAAAAAAAAAAAAAACGTATTTATAATTGTTATTTATTATAATAGGTAAAAAGGTTTATTATTCTTCTAATCAACATAATTCTAATCTTCACAAATAAATAAAATATATTAATGATTTTTTTTCGATGACATTAAATCATTTAAGTAGTATTGATTAAATAGATTGAATAAATAGAATTGACTATTTTGTATTGATATAATAAAATAGTGAAAAATCAGATGTTGATCATGATCTGTCAATCGAGATATAATTATTGTTTATGTTGAGTGCATAAGTTTCTTGTTATCGTTCGATCATAGTTTTAATGATAGAGAAAAGTGGATCAAAAGTCATTTAATCAAGAAAAGAAAAAAAAGTCTTGTTCTCTATTTCTATCTTTTTTTTTCTTCCTTTCGTTGTCGAATATGATGACTTTCGATCGAGAACAGGACACTATTTCCTCTATTCTCCGAGCGGGTTACTTGCACATTTACGAGTCGAAGAAATGACATATGCGTGTTGATGTATGCGTTTGCTTAGTATTCTCCGTTTTTTTTGCCGACATTTCTTATTATAGCAACGCGTTTGTTTGTCCTGGAGAAGATAAAATGGACTAAATACATGCAACAAACATCTGTAAAGATCGAAAACTTGTATCTATATCAGATATATAAGCCTTGAAAATAAAATCTATTATCGTGAAGATCATAAAATAACACGAGCGTGATATATTTTATGAGCAAAATCAGTTTGCAACGACGCAGAAAAAAACCTTCGGTGTTCTTCTTGGTAATCGTAAATATTTGAATTTATATTCGTCCTTTTTTAGTACAAATGTAATTTTTTTTATCTCATTCTTGCATCAATAAACATAGGGAAAGTGCAATGGACTGTTTTCTTTGGGCGGTTTTTTTTTCTTGCGTTAGTGCTTGATGACGATTGTTTTCTCGTGTTGATCTTCGTACTTGTCATGTTAGCGTTAATAAATGTTAAAGACGAATTAGTTCAATAAAGATGTTCCCATGAAAATAAGGATAGATCAGTTGCTTGAATTCCTCCTTTTTTTTTTTTTTATTTCCGTAATAAGGTAAGTAGCAGAAAAAAAAACAATGCGTTCGATGGATTGCACACGCATTTTTTTGCGGTAATGATCAATCCAGCTGAGATAAAAAAAACCTCTAGAGAAAAACGAGTAAGATCAGGTTTTGACTTTGAGCAAGATATATATATATGTATGATTTACCTTGAGTTTTATACATATTTATTAGCCCCCTCCCCAAAAAAAAACAACAAAACTGTCTGCTTTATAATACTTAATTAGCGAGTCCTATATCAACTTTATTTCTTATTATGATGACGTCATTTGTCGTTTTTGTTTCGCTTATGGCAGAAAAAGCTATAGAGTATTTCTCGACAACTCTTAGTTTTTTTTTTCTTTCTTCGTCTGGATGCGATCGATCGCATCAACAATACCACCATCATCATCTCAAATCAGCAATGGAAGAAAAGAATATAGTATTTCTTTTTCTTTTTTTTTTCTTCTAGTTTTCTTTTTCTTCTAGATATTTTGTCTTATCAAATATTTTTAGATCTCGATCGTTATATAAGATCGAGTAATAACCTTTTCAACATATTATATTTTATCTCGCTGAACAATGGTAATATTTAATAATATTTTTCTTTTGTTTTCCTTGAATTTGTTTTTTGTTCTTCGGATCATTCTAGGCTGAAGATAAAAAACCAAAATCGGGAAAAAAAGGTGAACATGATCTGGATGATCTTAAACGTGAACTTGAAATTGTAATATATAATTAATTTTAATACATATTATTATATTTATTAATTTCATAGGATGATCATAAAGTATCGGCTGAAGAACTTTATCGACGATATGGAACGGATCCCGATAAAGTGAAATAAACTTATTTTAATTGATCATCTTATTCTATTTGTATTTATATATGTATATATAAATAGGGTTTAACTGAAGCAAAAGCAGCTGAGATTTTTGCACGTGATGGTCCTAATGCATTGTCACCACCTAAAACCATACCTGAATGGGTCAAATTTTGTCGTCAAATGTTTGGTGGTTTTGCCATGTTATTATGGTTGGGTGCAATCTTATGTTTTATTGCACATGGTATTAGTGTAGCAACATATGAAGAAGCAACGAATGACAATGTAAGAAAAAGAATTTATATTTTTGTAGCTGTATATATATATATATTTCTTTTGTAAATAGCTTTGGCTTGGTGTTGCATTAACAGTTGTCGTATTTATTACTGGTTGCTTTTCATATTTTCAAGAAGCTAAAAGTTCGAGAATAATGGAATCATTCAAAAATATGTATGTTATTTATTAAAAGAAAAATGATTGGAATTTAATTCTTGTTCTATTGTTATTTTAGGGTGCCACCTGTATGTATATGAGATAGAAATATTGAAAAAAAGAGTCTTTTTTTTTAAATATTTTCATGTTTATAGCAAGCATTAGCAATTCGTAATGGCGAAAAAAAAAATTTAAAAGCTGAAGAATTAGTTGTTGGTGATATTGTTGAAGTTAAATTTGGAGATCGTGTACCAGCTGATATTCGTGTTTTGCGAGCACATGGTTTTAAAGTTGATAATTCATCATTAACGGGTGAATCAGAACCACAATCACGTGCACCTGAATTTACAAATGAAAATCCACTTGAAACAAAAAATTTAGCATTTTTTAGTACATTTGCTGTTGAAGGTTAGAGAAAAAAATTATGGAATTTGATGATATTTTTTTTGTTTTTTTTTTGTTTTTCTTTCTCTAGGTACATGTCTTGGATTAGTTGTACGAACTGGTGATCGAACTGTAATGGGTCGTATTGCAAATTTAGCTTCGAGTAAAATAAATTTTTCATAAATAAAACAAAAACAAAAAGAATCTATTTCATTAGGTTTGGAAACGGGTGAAACACCAATAGCACGTGAAATAGCACATTTTATTCATATAATTACTGGTGTAGCTGTTTTTCTTGGTGTTTCATTTTTTGTTATCGCTTTTATTCTTGGTTATCCATGGTTAGAAGCTGTCATCTTTCTAATTGGTATTATTGTAGCTAATGTACCTGAAGGTCTTCTTGCTACTGTAACTGTAAGTTATTATAATCAATTCGATATGATTGTATTTTATTTGTTATTGATTTATAATTAAATTTAGGTATGCCTTACATTAACAGCTAAACGTATGGCAAAGAAAAATTGTCTTGTTAAAAATTTAGAAGCCGTCGAAACACTTGGTTCAACATCAACAATTTGTTCTGATAAAACTGGAACATTAACACAAAATCGAATGACTGTTGCTCATATGTGGTTTGACAATCGAATTGTTGAAGCTGATACAACAGATAATCAACAGAGTAAGTTTTAAAATGTTTCTTTTAGTTATATTTATTTAAATATTCTTTAGATGCAACATATGATAAAAGTTCACCGGGATGGGTAAATAATTTCAATTGATTAAAATTTTGACGATAAATTATTTTGTTTTTATTTAGCTTGCTCTTAGTCGTTGTTCTATGTTATGTAATCGAGCTGATTTTAAACAAGATCAAGATAATTTAAAACGACCTGTCTTACAACGAGAATGTAATGGTGATGCATCAGAATCTGCTCTACTTAAATGTGTTGAATTATCAGTAAGAAAAATAAAATAATAAATAAATATATATATATATATATATATCAATCTTATTATTTAATATTTAGATTGGTAATGTTATTAAATTTCGTGAACAAAATCGAAAAATAAGTGAAATACCATTTA